TATATATATATATATTTAAATTGTTAGAAAATCTCGCGTCTGAGAATCGTCATGTGTAATAAGATATAAGAAATAATCTTCTAAATCATGTATCAGAGTCGTGACATATTGTATTTTTCAAAAAAAAGATAAGTTTCTTGGAATAGATGATAGGAATAACTGTGCGATAATATAAGTTCATATATACATTCAAAATAATTATAATAAATGAACAGAGAATATAAGAATATTCACGTAACAGTCTTACGTTCAGTGCAATCGTTCTGTCATAATCATATCTATACAATTTGTTAAATTATTTTTATATTATGATAGAAAGCAAAGTTTAACATTTTTAGACATGATTATCAATCCACTTAATGTTGTTAGACTTTTATTAACATCTATAAGTTCAGTATATCTAACACCAGTCACTGAAGCAGAAATAGAATTAAAAGGACACATACAAAAATTGTTGGATAGCATTTTTCACTAGAATGTGTTTGAAGTAACAGAAGAAATCTATCTCGATTATCAAGAATCTTATAAACTACATAATTCTGAAATAATTGAAGATGAAGAAGCATGGAGTGAAGATAATTTAAATTCTCATCCTCAATGTTCAAATGATGACGCAAACTTTGACAGTTCTTATAAAAGACGAGCTATTAAATATTGGCGAAATAAGGATATTAATAAAAAAAATAACAAAAAGAAGGTCCGCTAAAATTAGTGCAAAATAAATTTAGAAGAGTTTCATCTAAACATCAATTAAAACGATGGGAAGAACAATTACATTCAAATGGAAATCATACGAAAAAATTATCTTACATCTTCAAATTTACACATAATAAATTTATAGTTGTTGAATCAGGATTCATAGTTCATGATACAAAGATGGGCTTTACAAGAAGAAATAGGAAATTTAAATCCTATATTTAAAGCATCTCACAGTTGGATATTAAGATTCAAAAAGTCCCATCAAATTCTGTGAAAATATCGTATAAAGGTATAAACACTTCAAAATTCTTATAAATCTTACGAGAATATGTTACGAATTACAATTTTGTTTATAAATTAGACTTAAATGTCAAAGAAATAATAACAGTGTTAATATGTATCTTAAAAATATTATATATTTAGAAAATCTAAATGCACACACGCACACGCACACGCACACGCGCGCACGCACGCACCATGCACGCACGCACGCATGCATAAAAATATTATATATTTAGAAAATCTAAATACATATACATACATATACACATATATTGTATATAAAATTTAAATACATATATAATAAAGCATATAGAAAACTATACAAATTTTACTTAAGGCATCTTTTCAAGTTTTCATGTATTTTATTATTCCGACGATAATTACTTACGCATATGAGCATAGATTACGTATATATAGAAACGTTAATAATTCTCGAAAATGATATGTTTTAATATAATATAACTTATACATGGTTAAATTCGTAAAAAATAATCTTAGTAAAAAAAATTTGAAAATTTAAGAAAATTATGAGTGGTCGGGATATTTTGTTAAACAAAAAATAAATAAAATTTTTTTGTCTATACCTTTGAAGTACTCTTGAAAAACGTACAATTTTTGTTTAAAAAATTTTTTTCTCTCTTTTATACTTCCGACGATATTCGCCTTAAAAGAAAAATACCGTTTTTTTAAGAGGTGTTTCACTCCTTAAACATGAGTTAGCGTATAAAAAAATAACGTGTCTCTTAAATTTTCTTGTTTAACAACATATCTCATGGAGAATCAAATCTTTTTCGGACAGTTGTAAACCTTGCCTTGTAAAGATTAAAAGCTTTAAAAGAAAAATTTATATCAATCTACAAATGATGTGTATACGAATGCTAAGCAAAGACTCGGTTTGAGATACAACGACATATAATAAATATAAGAAAGAAATGAAAGATGTCATTATTATCGAATTTGGAATTTAAAAAAATCTGTACTATCGATAAAAAAAATTTTTCCAGTGTTTTAATTGTTGTACTTTTACACAAAGATACAAAACACGTGTTTTGCACGTGTTTTACTTTAAAAATAAATTTTCTTACTGAATAATTTTGGTTTTGTTGTTACAGTGTGACGTCACAGCGCAGGAGGACTCGATCGCATCCGAACCCTCTTTGGCATTTCAAATAACGTAATATTTTATTATTTTCTTGCATAATTTGCGTTAAAAAATTATTTAAAAAATTGCAATTAAAAAATATATATATATTGTATAAAGAATGTAATATTTTTTAAAAATTATGCAAACTTCCTATTGTTTTCAAATTCTCCGAACCATTATTAGGTCACCTATGTGACACTTGACTTAAAAAAAATTTTTAATATGCAACAAAATTTTAACATGCAATAAATTAAGCTTGGTTTGCGTTGTTCCACCTTTCTTTTCGCTTTTTCCTCGAAGGATTTTTTCAAAAATTAATTTTGAATCCTTCGAGGAAACCTCACTTTGAGACATTACTGACTAAGATATTATGTAATATATAATATAATATATAATATAAATAGATATTATGTAGAGTAAAAAGCTGCACAATGACATCAATGACTGTCGTTAAGAATTACAGAATCAGCCCCTTAAGTTTCCACCGAGGGTTAGAATTGGATCAGAGTGCAAGAACTGACCAATCACAGTTGAGCATTCCCCTCTCATTCTACTGTAAGAGGGTAATACTCGATTGTGACTAGTCAATTCCCACACTTCAACCAACTCTAACCCTCGGTGGAACTTAATTACTGTTTCCGAGAAAGAGAAATGTATCCATCTAATTCAATATTACTCGTACTCGTTTGTGCTATTATTTTATTTCATTTGTACCTTTAAGAAGATGATTATTGTTGAGGTTTTTTTTGTTGCATGAAGGACCTTTGTACTTCGAAAAATATGTCTTTATTGAAGCGAATCGGAGAAGAAAGGACGTGCACGTTACAAACAATAATATAATTCTAATTTAAGGAGATGATCTCGCATGGAGTAACAAGACGTCCTAATGTGGCATCTATCTCGTGAGTCCTTAACCACAAATGAATAAAGCATATGTCTATGATCGATCGGTTTGTTAATGAAATAAACTTATTTCTTACAATTATACCCAAATTTCAAAGTAGATAAGAGCTAACGAAGTTATTCCTCAAGATATTTTTAATCCGGATTTGAAATTTCGGTGCTATTTCGAATTAAAACGAGTACAAACAATTCTAAAACAACACCTACTTGCAGATTTAAAATATCTTAAAATAGAGTGCTAGCATTTTTTCCTTTATATTTTTGAAGTATAAACAAAAAAGTACAAACAAAAAAAACTTTCTAACAACAAATCTAGCTTAACTTAATGCTCATTAAAACAAATTTTTTTCTTAAAGTCGAGTGTCAAGTTCATACAGGTTTTATTATTGAGGTCTAACGTATAGCTTAAGTATATAACAATAATCATTTTAAGGAGAAAACATGTAAAATATTAATTTGCTTTCAATGATACAAATTTGGTTGTGTTAATTTTTACCTTTGTGTTGTTTTTTTTTTATAGTCATCAGCTTAGATATTAAACTGGCAGAGCCACTGTTTTCTTGGAAATGACATATAATATAGAATTGTTTTTAGTAGTACAAAAAATAATACAAATTCAATCCTATTGAGTTCTGACTATACTATTTTTCTTTATTCTTTTATTTTGAATTGGTCCTGCCAACTTAATGTTAAACTATCAGTTCCACGATTTGTTTTTAAATGTCACATGGCACAAAATTATCATTAATAGTACAATTTAGTACAAAATGTATACTAAAAATTCCGATAGATGTGATTTGATTGAATCTTGCTAGCTTTATAGAGTTATAGTATTGAACATCTATGAGCATATTTAGATAATAATTCGAAAATAATAATTTTAATTTCGAAAATCTGATACATCAGTTTCCAGATACCTCAAATAAACAAATATAAAAATGATTGGTACTTTAAATCGTACACTACAGCAATTATTACGTGAATTAAAGAATTAGAATTGATATCGAGGCTGAAATTATTGGAACAATGTTAACGATACCAAAGCGTTTATGGATTATCGCCGTGTTGTAATCCATTACTAATTCTAATGTTTTATGAACCTTGCCGTTCACTTCATCAAGACGAGGAGCGCATTGATACTTAGTGCTTTCAAGCAAGAACACAGTGTAACACAATGAATTACATTTTTGTTGTTTGCCTACATTAAACAAAGATGAAACGACTGTATGTATCTGTGTCCTTGCTGAAAAGCACTCACTAAATACACTCCTAGCCCTGATGAAATGAACATACAAAACGTTGACAATATTGGCATTAGCAATGGTTCATGATACGACGATAATCCGTAAATCCTTGGACACATTTGAAGAAAGCCCGTGAAAGCTTCAAAAGTATTTTTTTTTAATAAAAGGCTACAAATTGTAACAGGATAATAGTTGTTAACAATTAAAAATCATTAAAACCTAATACATGTAAAAAACAAACATTTCAACACTTATCGGGTCATCTTCAGTGTTGTACAATATATAATAATACAATATATAAATTTACAATTTAACAATTCTACAAAACCTTCAATCTTCGAAGTATCCACAACTTAAATGTTTGTATTTTACATGTATTAAATTTTAATGATTTTAAATTGTTAAAAAATACCATCCTATTGCGACTCGTAGCCTTTTATTTAAAAAATTTTTTTATTATTTGAATCTTAGGCCCGGTTGTTCCATCTTTTGATAAATTTTACCTGTTAGGTAAATCTGGCAATCTATGCATGTAATTGGGTTTTGCTACTTACCCAATAGGTAAAATTTACCATAAGATGGAACAACCGATTTATATTATTACTTCAAAAGTAATATTAAAGATGTCATACAGAATTATAATAGAATTGTATTTATTGTAATGTTTTTTATAAAATGTAATTCTTTTTTCCGTGATATTCTTATCTATCTTCGCTCTTGATTTTTCGATATGTCAAGTTCTCGTTAAATAAAAATAAATTGTTGAACTTCATTCGCAAGTTTCTTTTATATTTCCAACACAAACAATACGCAATACCAGTAAACGTTCAATTCCCCGGGCAATTAATTCTGATCTTACTCTATCTTCGTCGTAATCGATGACAGCATTCTTGTCACTTCGCATACTCGGTCCCGATTTGAAGACCTCAATCTCGTTTGACTCCATCCTCGTCACGCGATTAGTCGTCGAAGTCTATTTTCAAAAACGTGCTACGAGAAAATACTAGAACACACCTACACCGCTCGAAACTTCAAACCGTTCGAAACAAAACCAATAACTTAACCTAATTCCATCGAACGATCAATCTTGAATCACGAAAAGAGAATTAGATAGAGCAGGGATGCGGTCCACTTGACGCTACAAATGCTTCGAAATTTTTGATTGACCAATCGGAAGAAAGAATTTTATTAACTGTCCAATCAAAAAATGCTTCGAAGCATTTGTAACATCAAGTGGATCATAGCCTGCGTTCAGAAATTACGCCCAGATAACTCTAAGCTATAGGTCTGAGCACAAAACTTGTAACACTTACTTAGATTTAAATTGTAGACGTAAGTAACGCACAAGCTTTCACGTATAACGTGCAACTTATTGCCGTGTCTCCAAGAGACGGCAATAAATCGTACGTTATATGCCAAAACTTGTGCGTTACTTATGTCTACAACTTAAGTCTCTAAGGCCCGATTGCACCAACGTTACTTTGATTTTAAGTGAGAGGCTTAAAATTCTCCTGTCCCTGTCTCTTTTCGCTTTAAAACGAGACAAAAAGTTTTAAGTTTCGCTTAAAATCAAAGTAAGTAAAATAATTTGATGCTGATTGATATGATTGATATGATTGAATGTCGAGACGAATGAAACAAAATGACAAAATCTGAGTGCATAAATATAGATACCAAGATCATAAAAACAATGATGTATTACGTGCGATTTTAGCGTGGTCTTTTCCGCATTTTTCCATCACGCCAGTTTTGTGTGCTATGTTCACACGAATGCAAAAAAAATGATTGTAAATGCGTTAAAACAGATCAAAAAATTGTTATGAGATTGTAAATATTAATTGTAAAACATTAAATTCTACAATAGTGATAATTGTTTTTAAATTAAAAAAATTATATTTCATTTTAATAAGCAAATTGTTAATATGAAGTTAATAATTTTTAAATTATATTCATGCTGGATACATCTTTGATGCATCATGTAAACATAGCACAGAAAACTTGCGGAATAACGCTGATTGGTTGTTTCAACGACGCATTCTCTATTCCGCAGTTCTTTTCCGCACCATGTGATTTCACCTTAAGGATGAAATTACATAGTCCGGAATAGAACTGCGGAATACAGAATACGTCATTAAAGCAACCAATCAGGACGCGGAAACACTTGCTGCGCGGCAAAATTTGATGCGGTAACCAATAAGCTTACAGCTCCTAATGTGTTCATTGATTACCATGTCTCATTTTACCACGCAATAAGCGTTTCCAGGAGCCATTAGTCTGCATTTTCATGCTGACGCTCGATGCTCGATTCAAACAGGTCAATCAAAATTGACGAATACCAAACATCAATTTTGATCATGTGACTTGTTTTGACGCTGAAAATGAGCATCAAGTGTCAGCATGAAAAAGGAGCCTTAAGAATAGGAACAAATATTAAGATTTCAACCTATCAGAAACTGATGTAACTGATATCTGACAGGTTAAAATCTTAATATTTATTCCTGTTCCTAATATTTAATATATTATATTATGCGCAGACTCTTATCAGAGAGAAGCCTGAGAGCGGCCATGCCCGGGATTTAGCTGTTTCTTTATTTTGAATCGTTACTTTATTATGTTCACAAAATGTGAACATTAAACTACGTAGCCAATGTCCATGATACGATAGGTAATGTCTACGACTTTTTGGTTGTATGCTTCGCTATAACCACAAATTTCGGTCCGTTAGATAGACAAAACTGTAAAGGGTCATAGAAAAATCGTAGACAATCGTGAAATCTTAAATCATAGGAAACTGATCAATTTTAATCAAATATTCTCCTTATATTTGATTGTGATTGGTTTCCTACGACTTAAGACTCCATAACTATCTACGACTTCTACATAGAGAACTATTAAGCCAGTTCTACATTAGTTGCAAACCAATCGCAATTTATTGTAATCTGAAGCTTGCATTTTGAAATCAATGCTTCATATTGGCTGACGGAATAAACTTGCAATCAGCTTGAAACTAATGTAGAATCAGTTTAAGTTATCTTGAAAAAAGACTTGTTACAAGCGCCGACTGATTGATTGTCCGTCTTTGTCTATCTATTCTTACACACTACTGTCTTCATTAGAAATATTCTGAGCGGACACTGTCTAAGCTGCAATTTCTAGCACAGTATAAGTACATACATTATGGACACTGAGCGTCAGCTTTGATATAGTAGGTCCCAGGTCATATCTCGCCGTCATGTTGTGGATTGGAAAAACGCTTATAAATTTGAGTTTTTATAAAGCTGCAGAATGATTTTTCTAAAAAAACAAAAAAAGACGTAATTCGGTCGTGTCATAAAAATTGTTTATAGCAAGTATATTTTTTAATCAGAATTATATAACAATATAATGTTAACGAACTTATTACATAAAGATAATATTTACATTAATAATAATAATAATATTAAACAGTAAATTAAAATATAATTAAATTAAAAATACTAATTGATTAAATACTATATAAAAATTGTAATTGAATAATTATATGTGAAAAAATAATATGTTGCATAAAAATTGTAATTAAATATGAAGTTATAATTTAATATACGCACATACACGCACGCACGCACGCACGCACACACACACAAATGCATACTTTATTATGAGAATACTTTATCGTATACAACGATTTACACAATATAGCGTCTCCGAAAAAATTTGATTTAATTTTTTATATACTTAATTTTATTAATTATATTTTATGGAAGGAGATTCAGCTAACCTAATCTAACTTGCAATTTCAATTTAATGAAAGCAGCCATATTCCTGGTTGGAAATCGACGCATGCGCACTAAAAATTAGAGACTACACAAAAAGTTCAGTGTCCATACTGTATGTATTTATACTGTGCTACTAGGTGGTTAGGCCAAGCAGGTAAGATGTGTAAACAATTGACGACAACAGAGAAAAATATTAGGGTGCTTCTCGTCTCGATCCCAGGTCTGTTCTTTAATCCAATTTGGTAGCCTATTGTTCTGTCACTGAATCATACAGCCCTGACGCTGTTGGTATCTCTGTTATGTATATATTGGGTCATCTAAAAAGTATCCGCGGTACTTTG